AAAAAAAAAAGTGGTAAAATCATTTACTGGTTGCTTATTTTTCAGTACAACCAGAAAACAGTGGGATATTGACTTATAGGAAGTTTTGACTGTCTTGTGTGTCAGCTTAACATTCCATAGGTGGGGGTGGGTGGGCAGTTTTTATATCTTAAGTACAAAGCATACTAAATGGCAGTTTGGAGTCACAGTCATGCATTTAATGTGTCTTGAATATTTTAAATTACTTCTATTATGGGTTTTTTTGTAGTATTCTTTCCTAAAGAAAACCACTCTTTGATTGTTGTTCTCCCTGTCAGAATTGTATGCACTCTGTGACATCTTTGATCGTGGTAGTTCAGTTTTCCTAATAATTTTGTTAATGTGCTGTCAAAGATTGGAAATTTGAGTATGTAGTGTGTATGATACTAAATTGTGATTTGGGGGACCAGCAGTTAGTGAAATGGCTATGTCGCTGATCTCCCATGTAGCCGACCGTGGTTTGGGTCCCGGACCCAGGGGCTTAAACTCACGCTGGGAGCATGTGCCTGCATGCCCAAGATCTGGAAAGGAGAACAGAGAAGGAATTGCCGCATGGCCATCCCCTGGGGGGTGATTTCTCACTTTCTGTCTCTCTGTCTCTCTCTGTCTTTCTGGCGAGTGCACGCGCCATATAGCAAACACCTCTCCAAAAAGAAAAAAAAAACTTGTGATTTGGTAGGACCTACATAACAGTTTTCAACATTTGAAGACAGTGGTACTTGATATCCTCTTAAGGAAAATGTGCCTATAAAATTGAAACTGGAATGTCACTGGAATAACTTAAAACGAATCATAATACTTGGCTTTTTAAATTTTGGGTACATATGTTAAGAATTGGGTACAAATAGAAATGTCTGTACTGATCCTCAACATAACCAATTAATCTCAATTACAAAAGAAGCACATGGTTTAAGGCCTGGTATAAAGTTCAATCTTTGTATTTGGTCTTCAAGATGGTTTTTATTAATTGGAAGAGTGAAATGTTTCATTTTTATTTATTTCTTGAACTTTAAGGATATTTGTATGGCTGTATTGGTTTAATAATGGAAAAACAGTCCTGTGTCTTCTGAAGCAAAGTAAATATAAAATTATTAATTAAAAAAAGAGAGGAAAAATAGACAAGATAAAGATAATTCAATTAATAAATGGAATAAATACATTTATTGGCATGAAGAAGGCTATATAAAAAATGTCAAATGGAAAAAAAAGTTTTTTTCTCAAGAGAAAAGTCTAGACTAGAAATACAAATTCAGAAGGTGCCGCCTATAGGTGCTGTTTGAAGATGGGCATAGTTGATAAGGGGAGAGGTATAAGAGCTAAATCCTGGGGTATGCCAACAGTTAGTACTCAAGGACATGAGAAAGGATCAGCAAAGGGTTCTGAGAGGGAGCAATTTATGAAGAGAACTGAAGTGTATATCCTAAAAGCCAATTAAATATATATATATGTGTGTGTGTGTGTGTGTGTGTGTGTGTGTGTGTGTGTGTGTGTATATATATATATAAGCAAAGAGGATATTATAATCAGGTCCAATATTGTGTTTGGCAAAGCAGAGATCAGTAAGTGACCCCTACTAAATGGTTTCAGTGGAATGGTAAGGATAAAAGCCTAACTGGAATGGATTCAAGAAAATGAAAATGGAAGAAAAAATGCCCACAGACAACTGTCTTTACAAATACTTCAGTAAAAGACAAAAGAGGAATAGGGAGGTAGTCAGAAAAAGATGTAAGTCAAAGGAATTTCATTATTTTTAAATGAGACTTAATATAGCATATTTACATGCTTATGGGAATGGCTCATAAAGACATAAAAATGGTTGATCCAAAAATGAGGATAATTCTGAGAATGATATCCGTGAATGAACTAGAGGGACAGAATGGGATCCAGTCCACCGAAAGAGATACAGACCCTGGATGAGGACATAAACAGTCATCCACTGGTATCGGAGAAAGGCGTGATCACATTAAGTGTGCGAATACGTCAACAGCTACGGCAACAGGACCAGGAAAGTTTTCTTCTGACTTGTGTCCACATTCTCAGTGAAATAAGAAGCAAGTCCTTTAGTTTAAAGGGTTGCCAATTTGGGAACCAGAAGATGGCATAGCAGTTACGTTGCTGGACTCCCACATGGCAAATTGTGGTTCAAGTCCCAGACCTGGTGTCTTGAAAATCACGCTGGGCATGTGTGCATGTGTTCCAAGATCCTAGGTGGAGAATGGAGAAGGGATTACAGCGTGGCCATCTCCCTGGCATGATTTCTCTCTTTCCCGCTCACTGTTTCTCTCTCTCTTTCTGTCGAACACACACACACCACCCTCCCTAAGGCAAAAAGCCTCTGATGGGGGGGTGTCAATTTGAAGAGAAAAAAAAGAAAAACGAAATTGTCATCTAGGGAAAGTGGAAAGGCAAACGCTGAAATGCATTCGTTAAGCTGGGAAGTACTAAAGGCCCATGTGAGGTTAACAATCACAAATTTATGTGAGACTAGGCAATGTGACCGTGACTTCCTATCCACATTAAGCTACCTACTTATGGCAAGGAATAGGTAAAGTACTGAATTTAGTAAGTGCCAGAATTTAGTCAGAAATTACAATCGAGGAAGAGAGGAGTACGTTTGTTGAGGATATATTCACAAAGGTAAATTTAACAATGGATTGTGGTCTCTAAGCAGAGAAGTGAAGACATGAAGAAACTGAGGAATGCTGAATTTTTAATTACATGTCTCTCTCCTTTATTGTAGTCTTCTTCAACAGAAGAATACTGATATTCCTCCTTATATCCCAACACTGGGCCCGATGCCTGGCAGACAGCAGAGTCTTAGAGATTTGTTAAATATCCAGATTTTCTTTCTTTCTTTCTTTTCTTTTTTTTTTTTTTTTGAGAGAGATT